GGGGGGACCACAGGGTGCTGCGGGTGCAGACGTATCCCCACGCGCTGCCTTGTCCACGCAGGGTTCGTGCAGCATCGCCAAGAGCCGTGACCGCATCCTGTCACCTGGCTCGCCACATCATGCACCTCGTCCCCCACTTTGCTGCCTGTCCCTCCCACTCCCCGCCGTGTCCCATGGCCCCCCGTGGGAAAAGCCCTGCCAGGTGCTCTGGCGGGGGGGGGGTGTGGTAGAGCAGAAAACAATCTGTGCCAGGATGAAAACCTTCCTGCCTACGTTGCCGGCAGCTACCGAAACAAGGTGGAGGAGCAGAGTCCCTGTCTCCCATCCCTGCCAAGGCTGCGTCTGTGTATTTGGGAGCCCCAGGCCACGGAGACCCTCGTGAAGGATGAGCCATGGACTTTAGCACAGAGCATCTCCCAGTGCCTAGTGAGTTGGGTGAGAATAGGGCGAGGGTTGTTAGTGGTAGGAGTATGAGTGCGAACCCTAAGGTATCTTTTGTGGAGTAGTAGGGGCGGAATGGGATTTTGTCGGAGTTAGCTACGATGCCCAGTGGGTTGTTTGAGCCGGATTCATGGAGGAAAGTGAGGCTTTGGGGTGGAGTTTGAGTGGAAGTTGGGGTGGTGCTGCAGGGAAGAGGCTGTCTCTCGCCCATCCTGGATTGTTAACTGAAGCCCAAAAGGCAACGGGATCTGCCCTGGGCTGCCCCGAGCCCACGTGTTCCTGCTCTCCAGCCACAGCCCCGAGCAGGTTTTGCTATGGCATTTAAATGTGATTTACCAGGGGATAACGATACATAAAACACAGGTTAAAACAGGGGTGGATTATGCTGGGCTTTAATAACACAGTAATAGGATTGTGTCTAATGCAGTTGTAATCCCATAACGCTTTGTTGTTCCCCAATTATCATTTATTTAGCGGGCAGCCCAGTGCAAGGGTTGAATTTCTGTGTGTGGGGGTACACGGGCATGCTGCTGCCTCCCGTCCCCTCTGGCTGTGGTGGCAATGGCAGATTGACCTGGCAGGCAGACCCCATCGCTGCCCCATCGCTCTGTGACTCGGTTTCCCTATGTGTGGGACTACCCTGTCTTGTGGCACACCTTTGGGCATCGGGATGCACCGTTGGGATCGCTGCCTGGGTGCTCGAGAGGGTGTCCTGGCGCTGGTGGGTGCTACCAGAGCGGGGCTTCGAGCCTCCCTTCCCCGCGTGGTGGGATGATACTTACGGGTGTGGCTTGACCTTGATGTAGTTTTTGGGGACGAAGCCCTCGCAGCCGTACAGCTCGGCCTTGTACCAGTTCTGGTCATCTTCCATGTTGAGGATGTGGGGTGGGACAGGAGCAGGGAGGCATCAGCCCGGCCACCGTCCCCCTGGGAGAGGGGCTGAGTGGGACCCCCACCGCTGCCCCAGACCCCATGTCTCCCACTGAAACCTGGGGAAAAGGGGGGTCTGACAAAGATGACATGGTTTGGGGGCACTGTACAGAGCTGGCTGCTCCCCCCAGCCCTCTTCGGCTCACGGTCTGACTCACTGTGGGTGCCGGCAGCTGCGGGGTGCGTGGTGTTGCCCCAAACCCCTGGCCAGGGAAGAGGGTAAAATCTGTCCCCGGAGGAGCTGGGGCAGCAGCCTGGCCCCCGCGTCCCCCCTGGGGGGGTGAAA